CCTGTTCTGCTCCCCACTCTGTCTCTGGTGAAGCCTCTCACCTCCCCTGAGCCTCTGGCCTGTACCCCAGTTCTGGATGCACAAATAAATAAATCTAAAAAAAAAAACCTGAATGCTACAACATGGAGCTAGAAGGAACTATGTTCAGTGAAGTAAGTCAGAAGGAAAAAAAAATATCAGATGGTTTCACTTATAGGAAGAATAGAGGGGAACCAAACAAGACATCAGGGGGAAAAATAATAACAATACAAAGCAAAACAAAAACAAACAGCCAGTTATAAAACAGAGCATCCTGCTGGGGACTGGCAAGGAGGGGGAAGGGGGGAGTGGGCCAGGAAATGCTGGGGTCCCCACCTGAGGGAGGAAAGCAAACATCGTTTACAAATGAAGTATGATATAAGACATATATAAATAAATGAATTTAATTAAAGAAAAAGACCTGACTGCCAGCTGGATAAAAAAATAAACTTCTAGTAATCAAAGACAAAGTGTTTCTTCTGGTAAAGGAGAGAAAAAAGAAGCAGAGAGAACAAGAGGCACTTAGGTGGACGGATTTGAACCTAAAATGCTGCCTTACACTTCCTCGCTGATTTATTAAAACCATTCCACTTCCTGCCTTATAACCTTTTGGTCCATCCATACTGCACTGTTCAAAGCCATCTTTTTAAAGAGACTCTGAGAGGCTTGCCCTGGTCCTGTAGAATTTTGGGGTTGTAGCGCGGTTTTGTCCCAAAGACCCCTTTCTTTGTGAGTTTGTGGAGCCTGTTCAGAATGGCCGCCGCCCCCCCTCGCTCCAGCTGTGGCAGTGCCCAAGGAATGGCGCTGAGTCTCCACCCACGACTTGGAAAATTGTTCTTGGACTAAGTACTCCACTTTCAGTGGTCTTTCAACCTTCAGGGGCCAGGGAGCCTCATTCCTTGTGTGGATGCCAGTGAGTGTTAAATCCAGCTTGTGAGGACTCCACCCTCCACCTGAGCTGCTTAAACAAGATAGAAATCTGTTTCCTTCTCATGTCAATGAAGTTTGCATTTGGGCTTCGTGAAGTTGTCAAGTATCTCTTCATCTTGCCTTCTCATGTCCTCAGCATTTGGTATATATTTTCCACTACTCCCTCTGACCCTCCCAGCCCCACCTGCCGCTATCACTTACCTTTGTGGACAGCTACAGAGCTGCAAGGCCAAGGTGGCTGGCTGGAAAGGCCAGTCTTTACTTTGGGTGCCGACTCAACATTGGAGAGTCCATTCCTAAGAAAGAGGAAAAGAGGGACACTAGGCATTTCTATCATAGATTCCCCCACAGTGTGCTACAGCGTAAGTCCTCACAGGAATAGTTCTACTGTTGGTTATGCCAACAGGGGCCACTGGTAGTGAATAATTCATTCAGCCAAGGCACTCTTCGTCATGAAGCTAGGAGAATGGCTGAGGAAGGAGGGGCCTTCCTCAGCAAGCTCTGTCCTCACCTTTCAGGAGGTCACTGCCCTTAGGGAATAAGGCCTGAAATCCCCTCTCAATTCCTCAAGGACAGCCCAGCTTACAGTGATATTAGAAACATCTTCAGAAACTTCCAGGGAGCCTGAGAACAGGCAAAGGAGCTGTGTCCCTGCTTGACCCCATCTCAGCCCACAATAGCAGCTTTCTCAGTGGAACAAAGTGGGGAATGTTTCTTGCTTCTTTGCTTGATACTGACAGCCCATTTATGTGGCTATGGAATTCCACACAGCTTGTTTGATTCCAGGGCTCTTTCTGCAGCTCAGGTGAGGACCACCACCTTGGCAGTCATTCAAGTCAGGTGAAAAAGTCACTTTAGAGAAGGAACCTCGTTCCCCTGCTCACTGGTTAGCAGTTGAAAAATGCTTAAAATGCAGGTTGGCAGTTGGTAGAGCTCTGTAATCACTGGAGTATGGGCCTGAGTATTCTGAGTCAGAAAAGTCCTCATTAGTGTTATCGTTATTTTATTAAATGTTTTGTACATATTGACTATGTGTGAGGGTCTGTTTAAAGCACTGAAAAGTCACAGAGATGGAAAAACGGCACTATCCTTGCTTATCTCAGGGATTTACATTTTAGCAGGGAAAATAAGTTGTTTCAGGTCCTCCTGAGTGGTGCAAGGGGTGACGTCTCAGCACTATCAAGTTATCACCAGCCACTGCAGAAAGAGTTCCGATCCGGACGCCAGATCCCCCTTCCCGGGACAGGGATTCAGGGCCAGGGAGCTGACCCAGCAGGCCTCTCCTGTCTCACCCACTGCTCTCCTCAGCAGTGTATCTCAGTCAGTCCATCTGCTCTGTTCTCAACTCTCTCTGTTGTATCCTTTCACCCTGGCACCTCTGGCCTACACTCTAGGCCTTATATAAAAATAAAAATAAAGGAGATAAAAATAAAAGTTGTTGGTCTTCCCTGGTGGCGCAGCGGGTTAAAACACAGCACTAAGAAGCTAAAGCCACTTTAGCATGAGTTCTATCCCTGCCTGCCCCGGAGGAGATCCACTTGGTGAGGCAGACTTCTCCTGACCCGCCCGCTGCTCCCCTCAGCAGTGTATTTTGTCAATCTGCTTATTCTGCTCCCCGCTCTGTCTCTGGTGAATCCTCTCACCCTCCACATCTCTGACCTGTACCCCAGTTCTATACAAATAAATAAATAAATCTTAAAATAAATAAATAAAAGTTTTTTCAAAAGGAGGCTTATTTCCTATCAATTACCAAAACAACCAAAAAAATTTTACCAAGAAGAGATGTCAGGGGTCCTGCTTCCTGCATTTACAATTATAAGCCCTTTGATGTGAGGATCTGATGTAGTTCATGTGGGCCAGGACTTGGAGAGTTACAGATAGAACACTGCCCTTGGAATTAGTAACAACAGTGACTTCTATTTGCTCTTGTCACCTCCATTCCCTAGCTAAGCTTCTGCCTCAGTTTACTTCTCTCCAAGGTAAGAGCTGTCATGTTTATTTCTTCTGAGCTCCCTCCCTTGGATAGAAGGAATGCTATTGAAAGGAAGGTTCAATGGTTAAATTGCTCAAATAAGGCACAAAAGGGGAAAATGCATTTAACTTCCCCTTGAGGTTTGCTTCCACAGACAAATCAGTCCTGGTATTTATAGATAAATGATACAACCTGAGTTGCATCAGGAACCACCTTTGAGCTGAGTTTCAGGTCTGCTGGACTCAGGAGACCACAAATGCAGAGATTAGGGGGAAGGGATACTATCCAGAAGCAAGGAACCAACAGAACTTCAAAGCTTGATTTATCATAAGAGCCTCTTCACACTTCTTCAAGTCTGAATTGCCCTGTTAGTAGCCAATGAACTTTAGCTAAGTTCATTGCACTTAGTTAATAAAATCGAACACCTTTGTTCTCACCCCCAGCTCCCAAAGCCTCATTCTTTTCTTAATCAGAAGTTTTTCTCCATCATCCTTATCAGTCTATTTGCAATAAAGCCCTTTCCTCAAAAGCTGATGCTATACTCATCTTTTTCTTTTTTAAAAGATTTATTTATTTATGCATAAAGAGCTAGGGTACAGGCCAGAGGTGCAGGGGTGGTGAGAGGATTCACCAGAGACAGAGCGGGGAGCAGAACAGGCTGACTGATGAAGTACATTGCTGAGGGGAATAGAAGGTGAGACAGGAGAGGTCTGCTGCACCATGTGGGTCACCTCCGGGGCTGGGGATCAAACTGGCACTGAAGGGGCTGCAGCTAATTTGCAGTGCTGCACCTTAACCCACTGTGCCACCAGGGAGGGCCCATACTCATCATTTTCTAAGCATATCAAACAATGAGCCCAGAGCTTGGTAACAATATCTGTGAACCATGTTGAGCTACCTGAGAACTGGTTTTATATCAAATCTTTCCTGGGAAGTGAAACAGCTGAATTGCAAAATAGTTGTCCTGTTTTGATTGACTTTTACATGAACTCAACCCAGGAGAAATCGTGAGGAGACGGGAGGGCAGTCCCATGGAAGAGTAAAACAAGAAGCCAGGAGATCTGGGGAAGAAAGCAAGGACTTCCAAAGCCCGATCTTGGCCGTCAGTCAGCTGGACGGCTCTTTGATATTTGGATATCCATGTTGTTCAGGTTTGGGGGATCAGTGGTCCTGGATTAAGGCTCCTGGCTGGGACCGCAGGACCACTGCTCCCCCTGGCACATCAGATTTGCTGTACCAAGTAACCAAGCTCACTGGGGACTTCAAAATTGTCTATATTGTGTATTCATTCAACATTTATTGAACATCAATAGATGCCACCTAGAAATCTTGCCTCCATTTGCTATCAGGAAAGGTCTGTATTTGGATTATTCTTTCTGAAAAGTTAGTTCCATTTCCCAAGAGTGATTTTAGCATTGAAAGTAGATATTACTTGATTATTTGGAACTTTTTCTGAAAGCTCAAATTTTTAGAGTAAATAAGTCTTAAAAAAAAAAAAAAAAAAGGCAGGCCCTCCCTGGTGGTGCAGCAGGTTAAAGCACAGCACTAAGAAGCTAAAGCCACTTCCGCATGAGTTCGATCCCTGCCTGCCCCGGAGGTGACCACATGGCGTGGCAGACCTCTCCTGACCCGCCCGCTGCTTCCCTCAGCAGTGTACTTTGTTGATCTGCCTGTTCTGCTCCCCACTCTGTCTCTGGTGAATCCCCTCACCACCCCTACACCTCTGGCCTGTACCCAGTTCTGTGTGCATAAATGAATAAATCTTTAAAAAAAAGAACCAGTCTCTTTTCATAGACTGTTTCTTTCACCTTTCATTCACTTCTCCAGCTGCTGCAGCTGGCTTCTGCATTCACCCTCTGCAGAACCAGCTACTAAAAAGTCATCTGTGACCTAATGGTTAGATCTTAAGTCTTTCCTTGATTCTCATTCTGCTCAGCCCTTCTGCACATTTGCTGGTGCTGAACCCCCTCTCCACCCCCCCGCCATGTCTGGCTGAGATCATCTGCTCCCACCACTTCACCTCTCATCCTTTACTAGTCCTCATCTTAGGTACCACCCTCCAAGTGTCATTAGTCATTTTAAAGGATCTGAGAACTCAGCTGCAGCTGGAAACCAGAACCGGTGTGTGAAATTTCTCTGTAGGTAGAGGGTAAGATATGGGGAGCAAATCATTCAGTTCCTATGATTCAACTGTCTTCATACCCGTAGTGGGTGGAGTTAGGAGGTGGGGAAGAGTTATAGGGCAGAAACAAAAGACCAGCAGTGGAATGGCATGGTCTCAAAAGGCAGAGAAAGATGGCAGAGCAGAAAGCTGTGCTTCGAGTGTGAGATGGTGGAGTTTAAGGAGAAGGCAGGCTGAGCCCCTGGGAAGGGTAACGTGGCACAGAGCAGGTGAACATTGCTGCCATTACTACTGATGACCAGATGTTGAGTCTAGATTGTTAGCTGGTTCATCTCCTGGACTCTAGGGACTCTAGTGAACCCCTAGAATTATGGCAGGAGGTGGGTTTAACTTCCCCTACCCTGCCAGCTTCCTATGTGAGACAGTATGTTTGGGCCACATTCAGTTTTCTAGTTTGCCATGAGCTTAGCCAGTTAAGCAGGGCCACACGCCCAGTACCAGACCGAGGGACATCACTCCAGATGAGCCACCACGGACTATCCACTGGGGCCTCCAATCCACTGGTGGCCCAGTATCCAGCGCATGTAAACACACCATACGAACGGGTGGCTGGGTGGGTTCATTTCCCATGTGTCTTAATCCCATTCAGAGCAGCAGCATCTCTGAGCACTGACTGATGCTAGGCTCTGTGTGAGGGACTAAGACAAATCAGTTTGAGAGACAGGGCAGCCTGCTGCCTGCATGCTAACATCCTGGATGCTGATTCTAAAAGAGGAGAAAAACGAGGGCTCCAGATGCAGACTTCAGTGCTCTCTCCTGGCTCCAGCGTTTGAAAATCTCCGTCAGAATCTCAGAAACTATCTTGATAAATACTGGAAGACAGTTTCGGTGAAATTACCCTGGATGAGTGCGTATGACAACTGGGTCACTTCGGTCAGCACCCCACCTTCCCCCCACCCCCCTCCCAGATTAAAATACAGCCTGGGGATAATAAGCCAAGGGGGGACATTGAGGACGTTGGTGAAGAGGGATGAACCAGCAGGCTGGACACCCCCTTACACAGAGGCCGGGGAGCTGGTGTGGGAGTGGAGCAGTGGGATTCAGAAACTGGCAGAGGTGGAGCAGTGGCTGGAAGTCCAGGACTCTAGTACTATTTAGATTACTGGGTTAGTCTCCACGGGCCGTCTGGTGTCTGCAACCATAACTGGCTACCTTGGGGATACATTTGTCTTTGGGTGTGCGGCTCTTTATTATATATTAAAAAAATATGATCCAGTGTTATAGCTTGAGAGACTCACAGATTAATGATTTCTTTTGGAGAAAAAGTTAGAAGAGATGGTTCAACTGGCTCTCACAGCAAAAAGACTGTGCCCTTTAGACAGCGCACAACCTGGCACTCTCCTCACTCTCGGGGACATCAGTCATGTGGTGCCAGGTGCTATGGACCTTGCACTTGCCCTGTATTTTTATTGGAGTAGAG